TGATTAGCGTTAAAAGCTGCTGAAGTAAACAAAAAGCACAGGTATGTTCTGTGCTATGTCCTGAAAGAGTGGGGACTAGGGAAAAAGCAGTATGAGATGCTGGGCAGGGCAGAAGGGAGGGGGAGAAAAATCCCAGAAAAAAAAGGGAAACTATGGAAACAAATGCCTGCAGCATGACAGGATTTGTGCATTTTTGTTAAAGCCACTGCAGGAGAGCAGTGCAGTTAGAGCAGTCCTTAGTTCTTCCAGTGCTGTCCCCCACGACCTTGGTTGGGTGCTCGGTAGGGTGACTAATGGTTCACCATGTTCTTTTTTCCTGGTGACTTGCCTGTTGTCTGCCTCTGGGTTTGTGCTTCCCCTTATGCTGACTTCTGCAGTATTCCTTCAGTCTCTTATCTCAGGGCTTTGATGCATATGTTCTGAAGGTGGCCACCGTGACTTTGGGTGGCAGCAGATGGTAAACCTTCAGGCTGCCACTGGCTATACTGGTGTTAAGTTGGAAACTTAACGTTTGATGAAGAATCAGTAGTGCATATGAAAGAGCTTTTACTGTAGAAATATCTTTTAATTAAAAAAATTAGCATACTGAAACATTTGCTAATTTCTGTGCATTTAAAGGATCCTAAAATTAACTGTTTTCTTAAAGCTAGGCTATGGTTATTTACCAGGCAGGTTTTATTTTATTTTTCTCCAATTAATTGTACCTACTATATTGAATTGAATTGAATTTATTTTCCACTAAGCTGTTGGGTACACTGTAAATCAAATCTAAGAATCTAATATTTTTAAGTAGCTGCTGTCAGCATCAGAATTAACCCTTGACTTAGAGGGGGAAAAAAAGGAATTCATAAGTAGAAAATCCTCTTTGGCATCACAGAAGGGTATTGCTATCTGCCACTTTACTGAGATGCTGCCATGCAGCACTGTTGTGTTCCCTTGTTTTTTTGGATGTACTGGAGAGCTCAAGTGCTTGTACAAAATTAGGGATGTCTGTGCTGCTGAAGACACTTGTTTGCATTAAGTATTTATTTGTGCTAACTGCTATTTACGTATCAGTGGTTTTGGCCATCTTGAGGTTGTCTTCAATGCAAAAAAATGAGCAAGGAACAGTGCCTTAAAAGCCAGTGAGGTATACAGACCTTGACAATGTTCGTACATTAGTATTACAACTAGGATTTTGCCTGTATCCTTCTGTGTCGCAGTCTAGTTGCTCAGTGCCCAGGAATAATGCCCTCCTGTGCGTTCTTCTCCCTCCTCTCTGAGATAGGATGCTCCATGTTACAGCTGACAGGGCACTGTTAGGTGTGATTAAATATTACAAGTTACACAGTAGTCATCATTGGTGAAAGAGATTCCATCAACTTGTGTGAGCTAGAAGCAGCTTACTCTAATGTCAACATCTCTATGCGGTCTGCTCTGGAAAATAACAGACTTATGTTGTAGAGAATGCTCTGTGGAATCCTGTTTTGTGCAGTTGTGTAGGGTGGAGACTTGTCACTTTGCATTTTAAACAGAAATTGGGTTTTTTGCAATGGGACGGAAGTGTGAAGGAATGCAAACAGGAAAGACTTGTTGCACTACTATCTATAAATTGGCTGTAAAGCATGAGGTGAGGAGAATAAGTTGGCATCTGGTTCAGTGGCAAACGTAGTTATACCCTTCTGCAGCAGCCTGGTAGTGCCTCCAAGTGCTGCTGACCTTGTTCTGCTATGGATGCATCATAAAAAGTCAAGCAAATACAGTTGTGACCCTCTTGTTCTGGACTAAGCCCTTTCTGAAATGTCAGTTTTCCAACAGCAGTTTGTTCATTCGTGCAGTCCTTTAATTATTTGGGAGAATCTGGTTAAACCAGCTCTTTGTAATGTGCGTGCAGGCCGCCTTCCCTTGAAGGGGATTTTTGGTTTGGTGGGCTGGTGTAAAGTCTGCAGTCTGGCAGGGCCCACACTATGTGAATTTCTGAAGTTACTTTTATGGTTCTTGCTGGGCTTCTTGGAGTCCCTTTTGAGGTAAACAGTCTTGCAGAAAGGTTGATACTGAATCAACAAGGAAACAATTCTCCATAAAATGAAGCAGAGCTGTAGATGAGATGATAATCGGTTAGGGAAGGTATGATGCTTGATGAGAAGCAAAAAGAAAGAAGCTGGTTGGTAAGACTGGGTAGTCCATCTAGGTAGTTAACCTCAAAGGCACACTGATATTAGTTGTTGTTATTGCAGTTATAAAACTGTGGCTGCTACTTTGATTTTGATGTTGCAATATAACAGCAGATGAAGGCAGCCCTAAAGGGACCCGTTGTCTGCTTTATTCGCATTAGTGGTACTCATTCTATATGTCGTCTTACAGGGTGAGGGCTCAGTAATCTGTTCTGTTGCACCATATGCTAATACAGTGCTGATAAGCAAGTGTGAAAAATGAAAGGGAGGAATACATTAATTGTATTTGTGCAATAAGGTATGCTATCAAAGGTAATTATTTCATGACAGTTTTAGTTATAGCAGTTGTTTTATCATGGAATAAAAGATGGCTTTAGGAGCCTTTTATTGGAAAGACAATTGTATCAAATTAGTACCAAATTAGATTTTTGTCTTTATAAAGGTGAGCAAACCCATGAGCAGTTTTTAAATTGGTGTCTTCTACTCTACAAATGAACAAATCCTGTTTGAGGGTTAAAGAAGCTATTATTCTGTCCTTTATGCTGACAGCTTCATTACTGATTGGCCTACTGTTGGTATTAAAAAATGTTTGGCTCCTTATGATCTTTGTGCATGCAACTATAATATTAATACAGACCACAGAACTGTTCATTAAGAAATGACTTTAAATGAGGTTGATGCTTGTAAATTTGGAGAGATGCAGATGTTAAATGCTGCCATTCCTTTCCATATACAGCTGTATGGCTAATAATTTCCAAGTGACTAAAGCTCTCTTTAGCAAGAGTGCTGGTGTGTTAAGAATGGCCCTATAAATAACTTTTAAGAACTGAAGTTGAAGGTGCTTCTTTTAAAGACTATTGTTAACTAAACATTATTGCCAAACAGATGGAAAGCATTCACCAGCCTGATGTTTTTAGGTCTAATTATATTATCGCCAGTCCTGTACGGCTCAGTTGAAGAGGTGTATCCAGAGGCCAATTTATAATCATTTAGTCAACACCTGTTTGGGAGATATTGACAGTCAAAGGGCACATTTTAAAAAAAAATCACATATGTTCTCGTATTTATTTACTCAATGTGAAAAGTGTCTAGTTAGAAACAAACTTGGGAGAAGAGGAAGGAAAGTGACTATAAACACATAGACGTTCCCAAACCGTTTTTATCTTCTTTTGGCACCTCATGTAAAGTTGCTTTTATTCTTATCTTGTTCTGTTGGTTTTCTTTTGTTGGTTGGTGTGGGGTACTTTTCATTTTAAACTTACACCTTTTGGTTAAGCAAGGATAGCAAACCCAGTTTTACAGTTGTTATGTATTGAGCTGGTTTCCACTGTTTCTGGAAGCCCCAGGAAAGAGGCCTAAAATGTTGTTCGGTAAACTCAGCAGTCTGGGGACATTTGTCTTTCCTTACTGTGCCCTTGACATGGAAATTGTGTGTCATTCCTTTGTAAAAAAAAAAATCTCAGTAGCGCCAGCTTCTGTTGATTCCCCCTTAGCCCCCGAAGATGTAGAAATTGGGTGCAACCCTAGTGAGAGGAGGTCTTTGAAATGGAGAGTTGTCTGTCACTTTATTTATTTTGATGAGATTTGATGAGAGAGAAATGATGAGAAAAGATTTCAGTTCTCCTTCTCTTGCTTGAGATGTGATGGGGAGAGATGGAGAGCAGTGTTTTGAATGTGGTCATCCCAAGGAGGAGAAGTTGCTACTGCGTGGGGGTAGCCAGCACAACCCTGCCTGGAGAGCTCCTCTCCTGGCCCAGCTGCCTGGGCCTTCCCCATGTCTCCGCCTCACCTCACTGTGGGCACTGTATGGGAAGGATGTTTCCACAGTTCCGTTGGCATGTGGAAAGTCAGCATGTCAACCTGGTAGGCATCACCCTTTCAGAGTTAGCAGGGCATGGCTGCATCACTGCCCCACACAGCAGGGACATAAGGGAGACTGTGTGTTGTGTGACCCTTCTATCCCCTGAAGAATCCAGCACCATGTTAGCCCTTACTTGTCATTCCTCTGCAAGAAGTCTCATTTGATGCAAGCTGACTTGGTCTTCACTACGGCTTTTCTATTGACTTGGAGTTGCTGCATCTTGTCCCTTTTAACTCGGAGTTTGGTAGCTCCAGTGTTGGCATTCAAAGGCCTTTAGGAGTTTGATTTTGCAGCCTAAATGTTTTGGTAATACTGTATGTGAATGTACTGAACTGGAAGTTTGCAATATCTGTTGTAAATAAACAGTGAGTGCACACTCTTGTTCCTAGAGGAGGGTTGAGCTTGTGCTGCTCATGTAGCTGTCTTGCAGCTGGTGCTTTTCAAGCACATCTGTGTTCTTGGAGTTTTGAAAACAGTTAGTTCCTGAGCAGGGTGATTTGAAGATGGAGATGCGAAGGGTTCCAGCATTCTACAGATGCATTTACCTAGATGTATATACACATCTATATTTTTGTTTGTTTTGTTTTCAACACACAAATAAATGGAGCTTGCTGAGAGCATAGTTGCTTCTCTCATTGCTGCGTTTCAAGTGCTTTCAAGTAGAGATGATGCACCACTAACAGAGATGCTCTTTGCAGCTGTAGGTGTTCTCCTCTCTGCAGCAAACTCATCCACACTGTTCTCCCTAAATAAATCCTCTTTTTTTGGTGTTACCTTAATAATAGACAGCTATATCCTCACTGATATTTCTTTCCTAAAAAAAATAAAAGACTCCTTATCACATCTGTGTGCTGCAGGGTTTTAATTTTTAAAAAAATAATTGCTGGTAGCACTTTGTAAGAATATTCAAAATTAGATTTAAGAACTGTGTTTTGTTAACTTACTCTTGTGAATCTCAAATATTTCTCTGAATACTTTTTGCTTAGGTTTTGCTTGTAATGGATACTAGAACACAGCAGACTTTTATATTGAAGGTGAGTAAAATATTTTGTTATTTATTAATAATCTTTTATTATATGGCCTCCTAAATTACACCATCACACAAAGATTTGTATGTAATACATAGAGTTATCCCTGCAATATATTGTTCTGGTAATACATACATCCCTCTTTAGTGCACTGGAATTCTTTTTTTGTCAATATTCAGTTACATTCCCTTCCTTGCCCTGTAACATCCCTAGTGCTCAGATGTGCTGATTTAGTCACTTGAGCTGGCACTGGTTATTGAGGCCAACACCTTAGCAGGCTTTGGTAAAGAATCACAGATTTAATGTGCTCTTTAGAACATCTGTAAAGCCCTGGTGGTTCAGGACATGTGCAGGCTGCTGCTGCAGGTTAAAATTCTCCTTAACCCAAGTGCATCCACTGCACTTTGTGTTTGGTCTTCTTTAGCTGAAGAATATGATATTGGCCAAAGTGGATTTTGGATCAAATGGGTGACTGGTCTTACTCAAAATTGTTTCCTTATGTTTTACATCAATGGGCTGTGAAAACTGAGTTTAATGTTACTAACCAACTGAATTAATGAATAGTTAATTGGTCAGAATAAATTTTTTCACATTACTCTTTTATGTTTCAGAAAGTGTTCAGATCAAGATCCCAATATGCTCAGAGCATCTGTGATGCTGAGAACTAGTTTTGTTACGAGTATTGTTATTGTGGCCATTATTTCAGGCTCCCCTTGACATGAATTCCACTGCTTATGGCAGGAAGGGCTGAAAAAAATTGTGTCCCAAACATGAAGCCATAATTAGTTGTTAACATTTTGTAACTTTGGTTCAGATATGCCTTACAACTCTGCCTTAACTTTGTGCGTCTGACCTTTGAATTGTCTTAAGTATGTCCTGCCTTAGCTTTGTGCATCTGACCTTTGAATTGTCTTAAGTATGTGCAGGATACAGAAAACCTGTTTGTTCCTCAGAAAGGTTTATTTGTGAATATTGTACATTAGAACCTCCCATTATCTGCTGGGCAGATAGGGTAACATTGAATTTCCCATTTAACTGCCTATGTTTATCAATATTGTAATAGGTCACACTATTGACATAATTTTTTTTCTCTTTCTCTCTCCCCTCCCTTTCACCCTCCCACATCAATTTTTTCACTTCTGGCAACTTCATCTCTCTGCTACCTCCCAAAAATCATTGCCTCTCAAGGAAACTAATCCTTTCCTTTCCTTTTTGTTGCGGTGGTTGTTGTTTTTAGTAAAGTAAAATGGAAATGTGAGGATTACCTGTAAGGCTAAGGCATCCTTTTGTCTTTAGAACTTGATTGAATTTTTTTAATAGTGTCTTTTTTTGTCATACACAAAAATAAAATTTTGAAAAAAGGTCACAGGGAAATAACTGAGTGTCATCCTGATGACTTAGTTTGAGAGAGATTCTAATAAAAACATTGACCCATGTAATTGATTTTAATGGCAGCTTTGTGCCATCTTCTGTTCTCTGGAAATGCGCCAGATGCCATCAGCACAGCCTCGGGGGACCGAGGGGCATAGAGCAGCAGATGAGTGGTTTCTCTGAAGCCCAGAGTAACTCGGATAGATTAGTTTGGTTGATAAACACAGAGCACAGCAGGCTCCAAAGGCAACTGAGGGTACAACTGACCTTTTTGTTCTCTGTCAGGGTCTAAGGAAAAGTAGTGAGTACAGCAGGAGCAGAACGACCATCATCCCCCGCTGTGTGCCCAACATGGTGTGTCTGCACAAGTACATCATCTCCGAGGAGTCTGTCTTTCTCGTGTTACAGCATGCAGAAGGTTTGTCTCTCGTTTAAGCATATTGTTGAAAAGAGTCAAAGGTTTAAGTTTTAATCGATGGTACATTTCATTGTCAAATTAATCTCTTACACATCTCGTTAAAATATTTTTAGTGTGCCTAAGAAATGTCATGTAAGACACTCCACTTCCTTCCTCTGTCCCTCCCTCTTTTCCCCTCTCATTCTGCAGCAGATCTGATTCCTGTTTCAAATGGCCTCAAATCCTGATGGGTTACTTGAATTGTAGCAATACTGAAAGCTTCCAACTGTTTATTTTCTACAGGAGAGTGAGTGCTTTAACTGCAACAACTATCCGCATTACTTATAGTACTGTCTCAGAGATAAAGTATTTGGCTACTTTTTTAAACTTTGGCTAGGAAATCTTTTTAGCATCTGAGAGTTAAAATGGCAATAATTTAGCATCTCTGCTAAAAACCATGAACATTTGCCTGTTGGTTAATATTGCATAGTTTTTCTGATCTGGATTTTTAAGAAAATAGCTAGTGGCATCACACAGGAGTTCAAAGCAGCACCACAGAGTTGTGCCTTCAAACTATTTATAAAATTCCTGTTAAATGTACAGGGAACAGGTGGCACAAAATAATTGCATTTTGATTTTTTTGTCTAACACCTGGATTTAAATATTCCCTAAATGTAATTGCCCATATTTGTTTAGAATGAGTGCAGAATATCAATTTTGAGATTGCTAATAGTTCTGTCTTTAGGAAATGTTAATAATTCTGTCAGAATGGATGATGTGAAGGAACTAATCTGACATATAGAGAAGATAATTTTATTATGTTGAATATTATTTCTCTTTTCCCTAGTAACTTAGATTTTGGCTTTTTCATGAACAATTTGTCACATGAGGCCAGCTAAAGTTAACTTTGCAACATGAATGACTGTTTCTGCTATGTGTGACTTAATTTTGCCATGAGCAGTGATGCATGAAGAAAAGCCTCACATTACAGTACTGCCTGCTGGCAATCTCAAGGGTTTACAGTGCTGCTCTCTACAAGGCTGCTTTTCTTGAGGTGTGTGTAATTTGGCAGAATGACTTGGAGATTCTCACCTGAACTGTGATCTCCACATAATATGGTACATTTTGTTTGAAGGAACAGTATTAAAAAACCAACCTGAACTGTAGAAACCCCAAACCAAACAAAAACCCCACCCGTAACCCTGGTCAGATACCAGCTGCCCTTAAGGCTAGCATAGTGAAAGAATTGGAGGCAGGATAAAATAATCATTTAAAAAACTTTTCCTAGTATTTCTGCAGTTTTTGAAGACCTACAGTTTTGCTCTTCTTTTCAGGAAGCACATTATTCCTCAAGATGGATGGAAAAGTGGGTAAAGTAGTAGTGGAATTTGGGGTGGAGAAGTAGTCAGACGTAAGAACAAAAATTTTAAGTAAGGCATAATGTGACCAGTTGCTGAAGATGATCTCCTGGAAGTGATAATTTTATTATGACAACAGTGAGAAAAATGGAGACATTGCATGATCAGAGCTCTTTCATTTAAGAAAAAAAGCTTAACATTTGGAATGAATGAGGTGTTGTCCTTAAAAAAGGAATGACTTTCTTCTAGTTGAATTTTTACATGGTCACAAATCCAGTGAAATGTGCTTTGCCTGAATGTCTTGTTTTTACCAACATTGTCTGTAACATGTTTTGAGTTCTGTGGGGGAAGGATTTTTGGTTTACTTACTGCCTCCTAAATGAGGTTTGTGCCACACAGAGCCTTGTGCAGCACCCCACACCATTGGTTTAATTTGCCAGCAGTGAAGGCAATGTCTGTAAAGCATCCTCATTTTGGCTGGCCACTGAGGAAATATGTACTCAGAGTCAGCCACAGCTATCTTGCCTCTCTCCCAGCTGTGGGTCAAAGCCATGCAAGTAGGAGACATGAGAGGGAGATGGGTTATTTTGAGGTATATTGGGAGAGAAGGTACAGATGAGATATCAGTGCTTTCTACAGGGAGAACTCTGAAGGAGAACAGGAAGTAGGGAGCATGGGAGAAACTGGGGAGCATTGCAGAAAGGATGGAGGACTGGTAGGCTGTGCTGGAGAAGAAGGGGAAAGGTGCAGGGACCAGAAGGGATTTTGATGTGGGTGAGGGCTGTTGATGGTAATACACAACACATGAGTTCACTTGACTTGGTCTTTCTGAGGTATAAGTTGTGAACTCTGTAAGGTTTTCCCTCACTTTCTGGTAAGGCAGTAAGTAGTTTGGAAGTGAATTCACTTCTATCCTTGTTTGCAAAGGACGGAGGTGAATCCAAAAATGATTGAATTTTCGACTCAAAATGATTCAAAAATGATGATGTGCTGTAAGGACTTCTCTCTGATAATCAGGGAATTAACAAGGTTAGTTTCATTAAGGATAGACTCTTGCTTTCATGAACTTACTGTCTGGGCTCAGAACAGGCAAAGGGAGAGGAAGAGTGATATATTCTGCTGTAAAGAGGGATAGCTGAGTTAAAAAGGGATGAATAAATTGCCCAAGAATGTATACAAAATGTGTATTGCAGGTGTAAGGCCTGATCCCAAATCCCTAACGGGGGCAGTAATTTTGTGTTGCTTCTAGAACTGCATGGCCAGTGCACCTCACCCTGTCTCAGGAGACTGATGCTGGAAAGTGATTTGGGAGAAAAGCTTCTAGCTCTGCGTGAATAAAGTATAAATAAAAATAGGGCTAAAGTTATGCTGTATTATATGCAGGGACTTGTCTTGTTCACCCCACTGATGATGGTCTTAATCACATCAGTCTTATGTGGGTAGTACTCATCTTTTAAATTACAAGGATAATAAAATCAGGAATCCCTGTAGATAGAGCTGTCTTAAAATTTCACCCACCTCAGACCAAGGTATAAATAGAGAAAGTGCTTGTAGTTAATGATGGGAAAGGCTAAAAGTTTCTAGGACAGTACTTCTAAAATGATGGTCTCGTGAAATTCTATTCCATGACTTTATGAATGGTTTCAACATTGATACTCCACATAATTCTATTCCAATAGGAAAGAAGATTCTGCCAGTCAAATTTATAAGTGATGGTGTTTTATTGTGTTAGGTATGTTTGCTACACCATTGGGAAGTTCAGTGGTAAAATAGTAATTTAGGTGGGCAATAGCTTGTCTTACAGCAAATTCAGAGTTTTTAATGTTATTTATAGACACTGTGTATTTGCTGAGAAGCTCAGTGTTTGCTGTTTGTAGTAGATTTTAACTGCACATTGAGTGCAGCACTATTGGGTTTTTTATGGAATTCTGCAGGCTTGACCACAGGCTCAAGGCTAAGACTTTTTTTTTCCTTTTTTTTTTTTTCTTTTGATAAGTCATGATGCTGTTACATGTTCAGAATCAGTGAGTGAGGTCTTGGGTTCTCTTACAGGCTTTTCTTATGGCCACAGTTGGAGGCTTCAAGGATGTTTCCGGAGCACAAAAGTCCATAAAGTTATCTTGTAGCTTTTGTTGGAAAGCACTTGGCAAGTTCTAGTGTGTTAGAGAGCCAATCTGACGTTAATAAGGCCTCGCTTCTTCTTGGCACTACTAACTCCAGAAATTTTAGAAACAGATGCTTCAAAAATAGGCTGGGGGGCTTCCATGGGACATCAAAGTTTAAGTGGCTGTTAGAAGCTGTCAAATCTCTTTAAGCATAAACAAGCTGGAGTTCCTATCAATCTGGAGAGCACTCAAGAAACTTCATGCTGAAGAGGCTTGCTGCACACAACAATTGATCGACAACAACACGGTAGCATTCTGGCTGGCAAAGCTGGGGATTTGCCTTTAGGAAAGGAGATAATACTAGCTGTAAATATTTGACAGCAATCAGAAAATGTAGGAAAGGTGATATGGTCCTTGGCAAGTGACTTTTTCAGGAGGCTGCTTTGAAATAATAGCTTTTGCTCAAAGTGCTTTGGGAAGTGGGAGCTTTGCCTAAACTAGCAAACTTTCTATCAGACCGTATGTATATGACTGGTGTTTGTAACTACTGTCATGTTAGAGATTAGGTGGGAGATTAGCCTCCCATTCATGTGTACGCTGCAACTCCACTGTAGCTGCCATTGGGATGCTGTGAAACATTATTGTTGTGCCTTGGTAGTTCCTGTGTGTCTAGTTCCCTTTTGGCCTAGAAGCTGCACAGGCATAATTTTATGTGGTCATTGCATGACCATAAAGAAGTTTGCCAGTAGGCATGTCTTTACTGAAAAGGAGGACAGTGATTCTGTGAAAATCATAAGGCCATTCCTTTTCCAACAAGGAAGGTTATTAATTCACATGAGGTGCATGATTTAGGATTGCTACTCCTGGCCATAAAAAAATTCTTATGCAGTGATGTGTAGGGAGTTGGGCCCAGTTTTGGAGAATTGTTCAAGCAGATGTCTTTCAGAACTCTGTTTTATCCCCCTATCTGATTATAGTTACTTGGAAGTCTGAATTGTTCACTTTGAATTTGTTTGGGATTTCCTAAATACAATGACTGCTGCGTTCTTAACTGCATTCCAGTTCTGCAGGAATTGGACTATATCATCCTTCAGAGTAAACTCATGGGCCAAGCTAGCAAGAACCCTTGATTTATATTGGAGTATGTCTCCTTAGTCAGACAGTCTTTCAGGATGTCAAGCTGAAATGGTAAGTGTCTGAAGACTGGGTGAGGATAAATCTAGCTGGTCATGAATTTTTGTTGTCAGCTAGAACAAAAGCATGTTTAGGATACTAAATTTGATGATCTGTTAGGTTTCATTTTATCCTGTGATATGTACTATATAGTCTCTATATATTCTTGTTGATGTTCCTGGATCAAGTGCTATTAGTAAACAAAAAGCTGCAGAAATGTTTGGGAGAATATAAAAATATTATGGAACTATAACAAGATTCCTAGTTGACTTCATCACTTGTTCACTTTATGCTGAAATTTCCTGTTGATTATTTTGGACCCTAGCTTTTTAGATTCTGCCTCTGGAAGCAGAGGTATAACCTCCAGAATGGTGGAAATGTGGTTAAGTATGGCACTGCTAATAAAAAATTTTACACTGATTAACTGCAGAAAAATGTGGAACTTGATGATTTTCATGTGCTAATAAAACCACAAAGAATGAACTAGACTGACTGTAGAGTCAGTTCATGGTAGAAGAAAACAAACCTAATAATTAGTTAGGTTAATACTGAAATGGTATTAAACACTAATAAACTTTAGCTTAATACAGTAGCCTTTATAGTTATTTAGTCTGTTGGACTATTTGACAATGACTGAAGCTTGCTTGTTTGGATTGATTTATGTAATTTTAGTTTTTATAGATTCCTGATACTATATTAGCATGGCTTGCTAATGGGTTTTCTTGATCTTACACAACACATGGGGAGAGGGGGGAAGATTATTAATATGTCATTCATAAAGGCATAATTACATACCCAGATACAAATATCACTTTTGTTTGACCCTGGATGGGACATTTTCAAAAAGGAATAAAATTGTTGTTTTTCACTACAGAACACAATTATTGAATGGCATTTATTTACGTATTTCCACTTGACCAGGAGGCCAGTCTTGAAATATTTGTATGTAAACACATTTGGACATAATAATTTTTTTTAATTTACTTGCATTTAACTCTAAGCTGGAGTTGCAGTAAGTAGTCATTTCCACTGTGATTTCTAAGTACAAGTCATTACTAATGAGCAACTTCTCTTTAGAAAGGTAAGATAATACATTTATAAATAGAAAATGAATTATTGTTGCACTTATCTCTGTTTTCACAAGTGGACAGTGGCGAATTCCTGAACACTGTAAGAATAAAGAGTTGGGGTGGGTTTTTTTTGTCTTTTGCAACTTTTAGGTTTGCTAAAAGTGTTTGAAATCGAACATTTTTAAAAACATAGCCTGAACCTCTTGACTTTTCCAGTGATTTTTCTGTGGATTTTTGAAGGTTCCATCTCAACATGCCATTTTTCCTTCCTTAACCCTTCTTGTGTCTTCTTTCTTCAGCCGCAATAAGACTGAGTAGAGGCCAAAATCTAGTGGATCTGGGTGAAATCTTGCATGAAGTGAGGGGAAAGTGTCTCGTGATAACTGGAGTTGTCATGAGAACAGCTTCATGTAGCAGTTGGTGAAAGCTAAGTTGTGCATGGATAATTCTTGCTTTTTTCATATTGCTGGGTAACCCTGCCCATTCTTAACTTAATATAGGGGTACGAAACATTTAGGTCAGTGAGAGCTGTTCTGGTGTTGCACATAAAAGCACACCTGGTGTCTAGTAATGACAGTGGCAAGAGATCACAGGAATAAGGTTTTGAGCTTTCTGCATCCCTGGGTCAAAGCTCAAAACAGGCCTCCATTAGAAATACTTTTTCTTCCACTTGCATCTGAGGAAGCACTGATGGTGTTAATATTTGCATTAAAGCCATGCCCGGAGGCTGAGGTGCTGTTGTGCCAAGCACTGTCCAAAACTCCAGAAATCTAATGTGAGTCTTCATGGATCATGATCTGTGAGCACACTTGGAAACCTGAGATTTGTGTTTCCATAAGAAATTTGTGAAGCACAAGTTGGGAACACTATTATTATGAAGATGGAAATATTAAGCTTGTCCTAATTAATATAATGCAGGTGGGATGAGGCAGCTATATTATTTTTAAAATTTAACACTGTAATTTATTAAATGCAGCAGGGGCCTGGTTATCAAATGAGTTTTTTGTTGTTTGGTATGAAATGAACCTGAATGATTCCATGCCTTGTTAATAAACTGGGCCAAGTTATTTTATTTAAATGTTTTTATTTAAAGAACGTTACATACAATAATTTAATTGAAATTTTAAAGGATAAATGTAATTATTATGGATGAAAGTATGAACAAGAAGAGAAACTCTTTCACACCCGTATAAAAATACCTATATTCTTGCTTTCTCATTCTCTTTTCTGTTGTTTTCTCTCCCTGCCATCTCATAGCAAAAGCATGAATAAATGTAAAAGTGTAATATTAGAAAAGAATTATTGGTGTTTATGGGGTGAACAACTTCTGCCTAATCAGTTTAAGACCATTCTGACTTGGTGCTAAGTCCATTTGTAGCTTATGGCAGAAACCATGTGGATTAACAGATCTAAATTGTCATTTTTACCATTGGATTCATGCTGTTAGAATTCCCTCTTAATATTTTAATATACTTAGTTTTACCACAACCAGTGAGGTTTTATTTTTCCCCTTCAAAAACAATTCTTGTCTTAGCCAGCGGGATGGAGGGCAGGAAAACTCCACATTATATTATTCAAATTAATTTTTAAAGTTTCAAGGTTTTTCTGCCTTTGATAAGTTATATTTGAATTACCTGGGAGTATAGAAAAATTGTTCCTAGGCAATGATAAATAGTTTCTTCTTTTATTGTACTTTTTAAAGGAATTTTGCCTTATACAGAGAGTGTTAAAAAACCCCCCAAACTATTAAAGACTGTATTTTGGAAAAATATAAAACTCTGTTTTATCCAAATAACTTAAAAAGAACCCAACAACCCAAAACTTTGCAGATGCCCAATGGGCTGGATACTTATTTTTTTCTTCTACAAAGATTTTGTTAGAACTCCTGCATTTTCCAGAATTTCTGTACAATCTTTTAAATTGAAATGTCTTGACTTTGCATTTTCCCCTAAGTTATCAAAGGAGACTTGCTAGCTTTAAGCCAAATTCTTTGGCACAGTCAAGAGATGCAGTAACTTCTTGATTTATTTTGTGCAAATTATGTTTTGAAGTCTGTAAGCGTTTTTAATAAGTAGAGGATTTGGAAACAAAAAGCATCCTGCTCTGTATTTTTAAAATGTAGCTATTTCTTTTGGGGCTCTAACTTTCTTAAAGACTGTGAATGAACTTGTTTGCCAGTGTAACTTAGAGTATTGATAAATCCTTGTGTGGTGCAGCAAAGCATAGAAAACGTTTTTTACTTCTGAAGTTAATGGGAGAAATATATCAATATTTAACTAAAATACTCACTTCTTCAAAGAGAGAAACAGATCCTTAAAATGTCCTGCCAATAGGAGGTAATTCCCATCCCCTTACTGAAATTCTAACTTGTTTTTAGTTCATTTCCACTAATGTTGCTCATGGCTTAGAGCTGTGATACAGAATTATTCACTATAGACAGAACTGGTGATGGGCACTAAACCATTTGATCTTCCTTAGTTTTTGCTTTCTTTTGAGACAGCAGATGGAGAGTAGTGACCACCATGCAACTTGAGACAGACTCTGAAATGAGACTTCACTGAAGTTTAAAAACAAAAAAGCAGCAGCTTAATCTCAGATGAAGCTCTTTAAATATTTATGTAATAATACAAATCTACTTGAAATGCAAGTTGTGGTTCCTGGAACGATTGCCGCTGTGGACATGAGGATATAGTGTATAGCAACAGAGAAGGTGTTTTCCTGTTTCATAATGAAACCAATTCTATTTGAGTGAAATTAAGCTTCCTTTTTTTTTTTTTTTTTTTTTAGGAGGAAAACTGTGGTCTTATGTCAGTAAGTTCTTAAACAAAAGCCCTGAAGAGAGCTTTGAAATTCCCGAACCTGGAACATCCAGTTCAACAAAAATTTACCTGGAGCAACCAACACCTAGTCCTAAAGGAACTGGTAGCAGCACCGATTCCAGAGAAAGCTGTGGGGAAAGCATGCTGAAGGTGGTCCCACTGAAGAGCAGCCTGACACCAAGCTCTCAGGATGACAGCAGCAACCAGGAAGACGGCCAAGAGAGTTTGAAGTGGATGGACTCAGGATCCAGCTCAGAAGAAGAATGCACTACTAGTTATTTAACATTATGCAATGAATATGGGCAAGAAAAAGTTGATTCTGGCTCTCTAAATGAGGAGCCAGTGGTTAAACTGGAGGGTGAAGGTCTGCATACCAAAGAGAGAAGTTGCTTGCAGAAATGCAGAGGTGTTGGCAGCGATAACTTCACCGCTCAGGTTGCACCTCAGGAACAAAAGCTTTTTATTGATGACGCTGAGTCAGAAATAGCTAGCTCTACTAGAATATTGGACTCATTGACGAAGTCAAAGAACAGCCCCATGGAACTCTTCAGGATAGACAGCAAAGATAGCACTAGTGAGCTCCTGGGGCTTGATTTTGGAGAAAAGTTACATAACCTGAAATCAGAGCCTTTGAAGCCATTGTTTTCTGTCCCAGATCATGACAGGAGCTTGGATGCCCTAGAAAGCAAAATGGGTGTGAGAGCTCATGACACTGTAAGCAGGGGTTCCAATGACTCTGTGCCAGTTATCTCCTTTAAGGATGCTGCTTTTGATGATGTAAATAGCATTGATGAAGGGAGGCCTGATCTCTTAATAAACTTACCCGGTATGTCTGATGAAACAGAAGAGGTAGCAGTCTCAAGGCCAGCAAAGTTTACAAAAACTGATGGGGACATGTTGGAAGTAAAGTTATTAGAAACACCTGATGTCTTGCAATTAAATAATTCTGTAGAGCCATGCAAATCATTTGATCAAAAGCCAAATCATGTGACACCAGAAGTGGGTGATCCTTCCCACAGGGAAGCAAATGGACAAAGTGGTGTCACTCAGGGAGCTCTTGGGACACTCTTTACATCTGACCAGGAGGTAGGTGGTTCAGAAGATGGAGCTCTGTTTCAAGGTCTTGGAGCCTGCTCCTTAAATGTGACCAGCAAAGAAGAAAGTTCATTTGTTTCCAACCCGCTCTCAGGTGCTCAAGATGTTAGCTTGGACAGAGACACATTAAGAAGTGAAGCAGTGTTGCTGTTTTCCAATCAAACTGAAGACTTTGGGAAAGAGGAAACAGACTTGGCTTTGTCACCAGCAGCTGAAAGTAAAAAGACAGCACCAAAGAGGGAAGACAAAGTAGTATCAGGGGAGAAGGAAATACATCAAATTTTTCAGGACCTCGACAAAAGATTAGCGATAACCTCCAGGTTTTATATCCCCGAGGATTGCATTCAAAGATGGGCGGCTGAAATGGTTGTAGCCCTTGATGCTTTACATAGAGAAGGAATTGTGTGCCGCGATTTGAACCCAAACAACATCTTATTGAATGATAGAGGTCAGGAACTTTTGCAAATGCATTTCTTTTTATTCGCTGTTGCTTCCAATTAACTGAGTAGGCGTTTTATCTTGTAATTAGTATCTTCATTTCCTGTCTAGAGCTTCATTATCAGTGCAGCAAATTCACCCCCAGTAATAGCTTCTAGTACTTAATGATGCCATTATTCTTAATGATACTGTTTTTAGCTACAAAAGGAGTAATTACAGTTCACTTCTGCAGAAAATGGAAGGGAAAAATGTTTTGATTTCTCCTGTCGTTTTGTTTTTAGGACACATTCAGCTAACGTATTTTAGCAGGTGGAGGGAGGTTGAAGACTCCTGTGACAACGATGCCATAGAGAGAATGTACTGTGCCCCAGGTTAGAGCAATCACCTACAATGTTTCACTTGGAAAGTAGATTAGCAGCTTTCATTTTCTCATAGAGTCTCTGTAGCATAAAGCTTGAGATCATGCAATATCTGAATTTTCTTTACTTCTTTTTCCTGAGTGTCTTAAAACACTACAGGGCTCATAACTGCTTTATTGTTGAGCTGTGGTGCTGTTTGTTGTGTCATTTCCATAAAGTGTAATTGTATTGACTGTCTTGTTTAAGCAAACCTAAGGAATGTCCTGTTCTCTTGCAGTTACTTGCTCTGTGTGAGTACATCTGGGTAACTGAAAAGAGCAAATGAGGGAAAGGGCAGACTGAAAAGATGACACTAAGAGCCTTAAAAATGCAAAAATTTATACGTGCAAAGAACAAGGGGGTCGGGGAGAGAATCACAGCGGTGTGAAAAATACAACCCTAATAGGCTCAGAGATGTCTCTGACTTTTTTTATGAGCTACAGTGGGCTTTGAAATAGTTTAGAGAGCTCTTCTCTTAGAACCACTTTCATCAATCATGAGGGTGATAAAATCAATATCTCTTGGGTTTTTATAGCACCGATGGCACTTGAAACTGAGCCCTCCCTCTTTTCCTTGTACCAATTTAGTTTCTGCTAATACAGTGGTCAAATGGTAGTGACAGCCAAAAATCAGGTGCTTCACTTACAACTACAGATTTTAAATATTTCATAGCTGGCTTATAAAAACTTTGTTCAGAGTTGAAATTGCTCGGGTTTTTTTATTCTGAATTTGAAATGCCGACATAAGTTTCTGCCGAGTGCGTGGTCTGGACAGGCATTGCAGCTTGGCATGCAGGTAGTGTTCTCAAGCTCAGAGTCTGCAAATGTGCTCAGAAAAATTTAGAATAAGAGTTACCAGCAGTGGAAGTTTTGAACTTACTTTGGCATCAGGTGTTTATTCTGTGTCATTGTTCCGCAACTGAGATATGCAGTAAGGAACTGTCTCTGTGAATAAAGAGACGAACAAAAATTTGAATGCCAGCTTCTTGAGATAAATAGTAAGTAAAGTCTTGTCTATCCAGATGCAAGTCAAAAGGGTAGGTATTACGGAAGAGGATTGTTTTTACCTATCAAAGCAAATCCAACACCTTCATTCTACCCTCATACCACCTTAATTCAGGAACAAGATAATTGGGGAATCCCAGCAGTTCTTGTGGTTGTTAAACAGAAATGTGTCCTGGCTGCCAACATGTGTGACAACCTGTTAGAGGTGTTTTCCCGCCTCTCTAACCCAGCCTGGAACAAAGCACTCCCTAGTTGAGTAGCAGCAAAGATGGAAGTGCAGCCCTTTTCCCACCCTGTCATCATTAATGAGCTGTGAAAGTCAAAGCTTAATTTTTCTGTACTTTAATGAGGATCCAAAGAGAGGCTTTTTTTGCCCCCTAAGCCCCAGCCAGCCAACTCCTGCAGTAATTAAGTGTTTAGGGAGTAGCTGAAATAATATTTAGAAGTCCCCAAATGCAAGAATAAAGTTTTCCATGCCATCATTATTTCCACCTCACAGCACAGGTGTGGTATCCATCCGGGCCTTTCTTGGTTAAGTCACCCTCTCCTCTCCACCCTCTCTGCCCTATCCCAAGCTGCAGTTTGCTTTGTGTGTCTCTAACTGGTGAGCTACAAGATGCAGATTTGCAAATGCAAATATTAGGTATATTCAAGATGGATCAATTGATACTGCTTTATGATTTTTACCTTTCATAATTCTTGCTCTTAATGTCATCTCTGCAAAGCGTAGTCGTATTTTAGAGTAGCTATTACATGTTAATTTTTATGTAGGAGAGGAATACTTGGTATAACTTAGGAGCACAAAATATATTTTGGAGTCAGGTTTTGTGCCATTCCGTTTTGAGCAGTGATTCAATAATGGTGTATAGCTGATTCCAAAGCAGCTTTCTGCTGCTGGTAGATACTGCTTTAGAACTTTTGATCAGTGTTAAAAAAGTAATCATGTTAGTGGGCTTTCTCTAGGCTCCAATATTACAGGGGAAAAAAAAGCCTTATTTGGATGATATTTTTTTAAATTTTAAGGTGTGTACCGTGTCCCTAGAACTCATGTCTCCCCTCTATCATGATAGCATAGCCCCTCAAACTGCTTTTGAAATGATACTTGTGCTTCAGTTCGTTACGCTAAGAGAAACTGGCAAGTTTGGGGGTTTCTTATATTATTTTTAAGTTACTTATAAAAACTGATTATAAATGTTTCTCACAACTTGGTTTTTTTTCTGCTGAAGGAAGGGCTGTAGTTTTGTAGAGGTGAACAAGTGATGTTCACAAAATTTAATCAGGTCTTATGATTTCTTACCATAATGCAACACAGTGAATGGATGAAGTGACTCAAAGTGAGTCTTTATCTTGTTTTGAATTTTCAGTGTTAGGTGCTGTGTTGCCCTTGGGTAGTCAGCCTTTCCTCTTCTTTTCACTCATCACTGAAAGATACAGTGAAAGTTGCATGTAAAATTTTGTCTCTGTGTGTTTAGCTAGAGAGTTTGAGATAAAATAAGATTTGGATGTGGTAACTTGTGTGCAGGAAAGGGAAGGTGTCTATCTGTCTTTTAGGGACTGGTGTTGGAGACTGAGAACAGTGTCTTGGTCTGCAGTTCTTTTTCTGAATTGATTTTTGAGGAGCAAACTTGGGAGGCAGAAAAAGGGGAGGATGAATGTGAAATTTAAACGGATTGCAGGATGTCTTCAATTTAAAATAGGAAATTGTCTTGCAGAACTATGTGAAAATTGTAAAAATGTATTTGAAACAGTTATACCTTTGTAATTGGTGATGTTTCAGGTGTTACTTTTTTACAGTTTAGAAGTGTAAAAGTCCTTTGCAGTAGAGTGCATGAGGAGGTATTAAAATTTTAAGTTGTTTTGTTGACTGAAGGAGTCTAAATTCTGCAGTTTATGTATGAGAAACTAATTCCTGGAGGGGCTAGGGATAGTAATGTGTTAATGTGTAAGTTTTTCAGACCCAGGAGAGAATAGATGTCCACCTACATGGAACTTGCTTGATGAGGTAGGGTTTTGTGTTTAAGGCTTAGAGTACCCCAGGGCATAACCTTGCATGAAAGTGGAGCAAGGTAGTATTGGTATGGTGGATGGCATGGACTTGCTCAGCTCTTGTTACCCTACAAAAAGTGGAGAGGCAATGTGACTGCCTATGTTGAAAAGGCATTATGCAGTGTATATGTAAAGTCATAGAAATAAATGCAAACGTTATAAATGCTGAAGTGTCAAAAAGATGAGGGAGTGGGTAGTTAAAAAAGCAGCATACCATTCCCTGTGAGCAGTATAGTTAGTTTTGTATGATATAGCAATGATCATTTTATATGGTGCATACATTAAAAACAGGGCTGCATCTGTTGCAAGCAGCAGCACTTCCCTAGTGTTGACAGGAGGTGGCATTCTACCATTAATGGATTTTGCTCTTGCACTTGCAGGCGCTAATTTCTCTAACTTCTCCCAAGAACTGGAGACAGAAGATGCGGTTCATTTGTAATGATTTGCATATCAAGAATTATATTCACAAGCTCAGAGTCGTGGTGTGTTACAGTGCTGTTGAATCTGTTGGTAAAGCTGGATATCTCTTTACTGCTGTATAGTTCTACTCAATTAAACAAAAAGGTTCGTGCTGAACCAACTACGGCAACAACAAAGCTGCCTGCAGATGCTTAAAAGTAGTGCCTGTGCTCTACTTTGATTAATGGCCAAACTAAATCTTTGCTGTTCACCTATGATAAGTCAAATGTTGTTTCTCTAACCCACAAGGGAAATGATGGATTATAAATCATCCCCTATAAACTCAACACCACTTCAAGTAAAACTGTGGGGGGTTTGGCCAAGAATAACCTATTTGCTTTTAAAGAAGAAATTAAGCCCTTGTAACTGAGAATTTCTGCTGCATTAACATGGCAAAGGTGACTATTCTGAGGTTGATATGGTTTTTTTCCTTTAACTTTCCTCCTCTTTATAGTAACTTTGTTTACTGACTGTTTTAAAGTCTGCTAAGCAGCTGATGTCTGAATACAAAGTTATTAGCAGATCAGATGAGAATGATTCACTTCTGTTTAAACAGCCCTTTGCTCTCCATGCCCCCTGAGAACTCTTATCACATATTTGTCCAAAAAATCCCCGCAAAAACTAACAAAAAATCCCTTGCATTATCCACCTGCCTGGTGGCTGATAGTATCAGCAATGTATCTCTTTATCTCTTGGTTAATGTGCCTTGGTATTCTGAAGGGGGGAAAATTCCAGTAACAGATTCAATTTACACGGACAGAAACTTGAGCAAATGCCAGCCTGGCAGGGGGGCCATTATTCTGCTCTATAAATAAGTTTAGAAAAGAAATACACACACAGAAACCTGTGAATCAACGTGTTTTGGTCTAATTGAGGGAAAAGCAAGATAGATGAATTTTGAAATGCAAATGATCACCTTCTGTTACTTAAGTATTGGTTTTGCCAACATTGTGATCTTAAAGATAAAGAGTTGTTAACTTTTAAATACAATAATAATTGTATTCTGTTCTTGACAGTCATGATATTTAATATCAGATTGGTAACTCTTTTTAAAAAAACCCTTCACAGTATGCTAATACCTGTGAGAAAGACAAAATTGTCTATGGCTATAGCCTAGTCACGACTGTGTCTTCAGCTAAAACAGATTGAGGATTTTCTCATAAAGAGAAATCTTTAAGGTACTTTTTCTGTCTAACCTGTGAAGTGTCATGTTGTAGAAGCGGCTTGCTGGTCTAACATCTTGTGTAAATACGATGTGTGAATGAGATGTTTTATTTACACTCTCTGAGTTCTTGTTCCAGCAGCAGGGATGCGTTCTGTTGCATCCCTGTAGTGTTTTTGGAGGATGAGATTTCAGAGCTGGGCTGCCTTTAGAGTTTTTTTTTTTTTTTCTTTCTTGTTTAAACAACGAATTTTCACCAGACTGTATTTACTAAAAACTGGAGATTTGCTGCTTGAGATCGT